CATTTCTTCACTGGCAGGGCTTCTTCTACGTGGCTTCTCCAGCACAGGGGACTAGCCTAGCTCCATGTGTCTTGTCAGCTGGAATGTCTCCCACCGAGTGATCCTGTCTCCCGCCTCCAGTGAGCTATTTATATCCTTGTCACTTCCAAATGAGGTCATCAAGCTGTGACTTGATTGACAGGTTAAACTCCACCCCTTCACTCTTAAGTCTCAAATTGATAACAGATTATGTAACTACCACAGGCAGTGAGTTTTTTTGTTTGGGGTTTTTTTTTTTTACTACTTTCTTGAGTAGCAAAAACTTTTATAATTTACATAGATTTTTTTTTGTAATTGTGGTAGTTTCATAATATCATGTCAACTTGAAGATGTTAAGAGTTAAGGGCTGAAGCATAGCCTGTCAATCATGTCACAGCCTGATGCCTCCTTGTGGGCTTGGCCTTCTCATGAGGATTCTGGGAACTTCCTCTCTTCCTCCCTGGAAGCAGGACACACTCTCTCTGCTTCACCTGCCTGTTGAAAAGCCACTTCGAGCCACACTGATGGCAGCCAGAGCCCTGAAATGCTTCCACTGCCACTGGATCCATAATATTTTTCAACCACCAGCCTGTGATCTTCCTGCATTTGGCATCATTACATCTGCTGTGTGAGTCTGAAGAGAACTTTATAAACTAGTATCGGACATATGGCCTAAGATCAGACATATGGACTTGATCTGGACTGGACTGGGATGTGTTCTTAATATACAATTACCCTTTGATATAAAGGTCTCTCTTACACACATGTAGTAATCTCTGGATTTGTTTCTCTAGTCAACCCGGTCTAACACAATACTGAAAACAATAATTTTCAATTTGAAAAAAGCAATGCAAAAACCTTCATTCTCAACCTGTAGGCAACAGACTGCTAAAGATTGAGGAGAGTAACCTATTTATTACAGTGACTCTGGAAACTGATGTAAGGCCCAAGTACTGTTTAGAATGAATAAATAATATGCCTTGCGCATGTTTTTCCCAAATGTATATGAATACTGTAGTGATGTATGCACATAGTGACTTTAATTTATTATGTATTTTCTCAATTAATGAATATTTAAAATATAATTGCTATCATGTAGAGGTTTGTGACATTGTAAATATTAAAAACTAAATCAAAGGTTGAGATCCACCAGTAAATGAGAAAAAAAATATCAACTCTGTAGCTTGAATGTTTTCTTAACAATGTACCTACTTTTTTGAGGGGAGGATGAGGAAATGGGGAGGGGGTGGCTGAAAATGTACACATTATTAAATGTTAACCTAGGAATCATACTTCTTGAAGAAAAGAATTTACAAGAATGATAGATGGTACATACAGGGAATTATTATAAGCCTACAAAGTGCTATTATGAAAAGACAGTGTTAATACCTCCAGTATTGCCAGGGGCTAGTTCACATCTTCAAGCACAAGGATGTGTCAACACATAGGTAGAATGGGGCTGCAATACCTGAGTCCTGAAATTTGCTCTAGGACCCAGTTGGTGTTCACTCAACAGAAAAATAGGGAGTAAGAGGCTCTTTGGGTGTGGGGAAGCAAAGTGTGTGGAACTTGGTCTTTTGCCAAACTGATTCAAAGGTCAGCACTTGCCTTCCTTTCTCTCATTCTTTCTTCTTCCCTTTTGTAATGTGACCCTTTCCTCTATTTCTGTAAATCTCTTGTCCCACTTTCAGGACACAGTCCTCCATAAGACTTCAGTGATCTCATTACATGTAAGAAACCATCTTAGTCCAGACCTCAAACAAAACATTCACCGAGTGCCTAGGATTTTCTGGGCACTGGGGACAAATACTGACAAATTTAAGATATGGTCTCTATCCATTTAGAAGTATACAGTCTTCAGGTAGAAAAAAGTGAAACAAAGAAACAAAAATCATTATCAAAATTGCTTTAATGGGCATAAAGTTACAGCAAGGTAAGTGATGGAGGTTGGAGAGAAGAATGAGGGCTTTGCATCCGTCTTCCCACTTTGGCTTTTAATTGGAATTCAACTAGGAACCAGGACTCATACCTCCATCCTTGATCATGGAAGCTGGTACTAAGACCTCAGAGATTGACTTACTTCAATATGTTAATGAATGGAGGTAAAAGGGGGTTAGGGGGGGAGATTGTTCTATATTAAAAGCAAATTAAGATCTTACAAAAAGAATCAAACCTAATTCTGATCCAGTCATTTAATTCAGCTGACAACCTGTGGAAAGTACAGAGGAACATGCTGAACTTCATCATAAGTATGAAATAAGTAGCATTCAGACTGGGAAACTGTATGAGTTCAAATGCCACGAATTCTTCAAAAGATAAATCATAAGGAAAAGAAAGATATGGAAGAGGAATCTGTAAATTAAAAGACTTAAACTCTGTTTGGGAAAAGTTTACCTGAACTCTATTTCAGAACAATTTCTTTAAATAAAAAATATGCATGGAATTTCAATAGATGGAAAATATCCATGCATTTTACAGATTCAGACTAAACTCTTCAAAATTCTTGGTAGATCATGGAAAACAATGAAAACCCAACAAACGCTCACAGATTTGGTGAGACTATGTAGACATTACTAAATGTTATCAAGGATCCTGCAACAGAAAATAGTGGAAAAGCTGGTACAATCTGAATAAAGCCTAGAGTTTGGTTAATAGTATTGTACCAATGTTTATTTCTTGGTTGGTATCAATCTTACATGGTTGCGTAAGATGTTAATATAAGAGGCTGAGTGAAAGGTATAGGGAACTTTGTAGTGTCATTGCAACCCTCCCATAAATCAAAATTTATCCTAAAATAAAAGTTTATAAAAGTGTACTTGCTACAGCAGAAATGGACCTTGAAAACATGCCAAATGGAAGAAGCCAGAAGCCACTGTATGAGATATCTAAAATAGGTATATTCATAAAGACAGAAAGTAGATAAGAGGTTACCAGAAGTTGAGGAAGAGTAGAGAGGAGCGGGGTGAGGGGTCATTGCTTAATGTGTATAGAGGTTCTGTTGTGATGATGAAAAAGTTTTGGAAATAGAGGGTGGTGATGGTTGCACAACATTATGAATGTAATTAATGCCATTGTACACTTAACAATGGTTAAAACAGCATGTTTTGTGTCACATATACTTTTTAATAATAAATTTTTTAAGGGAAGAAACTTAACAGGCATAATAAATTTAATAAGCAAAGCTAAATCATAGTCAGTAGGGAAGTACACTTAGGAAATAGAACCATAAAGAAATGCAAAGAGGAGATGGCTATAAAAGTCAGGATAATGGTTATTTTAGGATAAAGAAGTGGGTTATGATCAGGACAAGTCCCATGGAGAGGCTTCTGGGGTAGATGAAAAAGTTCTGTTTCCTGACCTAGTGTTAGTTATAAGGTATTTGTCTTATAATAATTAAACCATATTTTAGCTTCAGGTGATTTTCTTTCTGAGTCTTACAGTGAAAAACTAAAGAGAAGATAGACCTTGAGAAGCAAAATGTCTTATCTGAATCCCACATAAAATGGGCCAACTATAAAAATACTTTTTTAAGTATGAATTGGGGGAGTATCACTGGGGATATTGCATTTTTTAAATATGACAATCACATTGTAGTTATGTAAGAAAATATCCATTATTTTTGTAGATGCATAGGGAAGTATTTAGAAGGGGGAAGGCTGGGGAGACAGAGAAAACAAAATGCTAATAATTTAAGATAAATGCTAGATCTATGACAATTTGTTGTATTCTCTAGTTTTGTGTGTGCTTGGAAATTTTTATAATAGAATGCTAAAAAGGTCAAGAGTTGATCTCAACAGAGACCTAATTCCAGATGCTCCTTACCCATCCAACCATCACAATTCCCTTCCCACAAACAACTACCTAAGAGCACAACCCCTGAGATCTCCAAGTGGCCTGCGAGGAGATTTTCCCTTCTGTGTCTCTTGTTCCTTAGGACTGGATGGCAGGCATGCTCATCTCTCTCCATCCTGATGTCTTAATTCCAACAAATAAAGTCAAAGGGAAAATGGGTTGGGCCTAAGGCTCAAGTCTGATGAGAAAAATCCTTGGTACACAAGAACCTGCCCCTGGCAGAGGGTGGGTCTGGGATAAGACAAGGTGGAGAGAGGGCAGGTAAAAACTGCTCATAGTCATATGTGTTTACCAGTGAGTGAGCTTCCAGAGGCTAGTGGCAACGTTAGTTGGGATACTGTTCTGGAACTTTCTCTCTCTCAGGTTCCTGGGCACCATGCCTTGCTCCAAGCAGCCTAATCATTTCCAGAGCCTGATGCTTCTGCAGTGGCCCTTGAGCTACCTTACCATATGTGAGTACCAACTCAAAACTGAACAGCAAAAAGTCAGAGGCAAAGCCATGGAAAGTTCCATCTCTGGCCTTTGGTCATCTGAGATGGTGCTATAGAATAAAGCAAAGGAGTCTTAAGTTCTGTGAGTGTGCTGGAGAAGAAAGAGATAGAGCCCCAGAGAACAGTGGAAACAGACAAGGGATAAAATGGGATCATAATGTATTTGAGTACCATATTTTTATACAAATAACTTGTGCCTTCTATGCTTGCCAACTACACCCTCCCCTTGGGAGGAATTTTTATAAATATACTATGCTATTTTTAATAACAATATATTAAAAAATGTAAATACATGGAAGATCTAGATAATTGATTTTATTTCACCATTCAGAGAGAGAAAATGAGGCATACGAAATAGGTATGATATGTCCATGCTCATAGGGGAGCATGTAGAGTACAACAAAAGAAGTCTTAGCAGTACAGACATAGAAAAATATAGCTTGTGTTTGAACCATGGAGTTTTCTGTTTTGAGAGGGGCTAGTGGTAGCATGAGGGGAAAGAGAGGTAATGGAAGAAGCAGTGAATGAGAAAAAATACAAGAATGGTAGATATGAAATAGTAGATATATACCAAAGATGGTTGGGTAGGGTGTAAGGAGATATGGATAATTTATAGGCACGAAGGTGGTCTAGTGATTTAATAAGGGTTCAGGGATGATGGATAGGTAGAAAGACAAGAGAACAAGAAACATGAGGGAAAATATGGGAATTAATGAGACCAGGTAAAAAAAGGCAAGTCGCAGGCAGAGAACAAGAGTATAGCTACAGTGTGCGTGTAGGGATGTAGGTTGAAAGGAATGACAGATAGGCAGAGAACTAAGACTGGTACGTAGTAGATAACAGAGGAAGTATTTGAAGGGCAACTGGACATTGATGATGGATAGGCAGGAACTGGACTGCGCAAAAGGTCATGACTAAAGACTTGAGTAGCTTGGAGGACTGGAATGGGATTGGGCATGGTTAAGTTCTGCTGGGAGCACAAATTTGGGCTGACTTGTTCCATTGTCAGTTTGGATCTTTCAGCCATTGTTCATTTACCTGCTGTTTACGTCCTTGTGGCCACTACCAGCCCTTTATTTTGCCTGGTTGTTCCTGGACTGGAAGACTCCTGAACAAGGTAAGACTCATAAATGTAGATAGAATGGGGTGTAAGCGCTCCATTTTACCTCCTCATGCCACAAGCCTCTCATCCAAGTCCTCAGAGTCATGGGAGCTAGATCAGTCAGAAAAGATCATTCTGAAGTCATTTCCTTTCTCACCTCTCTAGCAGAGCCATAGTCCCTCCATGCTGTTAGGAAACCCTGGGTAAGTGGGAAGTGTGGAGTGGCACACTGACATGATCCCCTGCTGTTATTTTTGTCTCAGGTGGTAGGCGTTCAACTTGGGTAAGAAACTGGCGTGTCTGGACCCACTTGAGGGACTATTTTCCCATCACAGTAAGTGTCTATTCCCTAGTATTCTTCAGTTTCCCAAATATTAGCATTTATGTCAAATATCTGGGGCTGTCCTTAAGGAAGATAAACATTTTTAAAAAGTCTGAGTCCAGGCTAGATGCAACCTTTCTCTTGGGCAATCGATACTATACTGGGAGACTTTGGACACCATCAGCATGACTTGTAAAATTCCATGGGCAGAATACAAATACAGTTCAGTTTAAAACTGACTGAAAGCTAACTATGTACCATAAAGATTGTATAGGAAATGATCCTCTGCCATCATGAAGTTCACAACTCACCAGGATAGACAAGTATATAATTATTGACTGATAGAGATACAGTTCATAGGAAGAAAAAAATTCTTTCTAGGGAGTGAGGAAAAGATTCACAGACATGGTGATATGTAAGTGTAATTTTTAAAGTTGAATGTAAAATTATTGAGGCAGGCTTTGTCAGGGGTTTAGAGAGGAGAAAATACAAGTAAGAGGTTCTAGAAATATACTACTATGCTAATCTTTCAGGTACTCTGGAATAGACAGAAAGTTTGTCCTGTGTTTTACTCATTTGACACCAGACGGCTCTAAAACAGAACTTCCTCATCTTTTTCACATATCAGCACTAACATAATTATCTGAGACGACCTGGGGATTCTGGATGTCCCCAGACTACCTGATTCCCAAAGACTGAAGAGACCAATAAATATCCTAGTCCCTGGAAACACATTCCTAGCATATCTGTTTGAAATTTTGTATTTAGATAGTGCTGTAGTTCTTAAAGTGTTGTCACCTTTGTTGAATGTGATTTCACTTCACCACTCTGGCATTTTTCTCCGTGGCTGCAGATCCTGAAGACTAAAGACCTGCCACCTGAGCACAACTACGTCATGGGGGTGCACCCCCATGGCATCCTGACCTTTGGTGCCTTCTGCAACTTCTGCACTGAGGCCACAGGTTTCTCGAAGATCTTCCCAGGCATCACTCCTCACTTGGCTACACTGTCTTGGTTCTTCAAGATTCCCTTTGTTAGGGAATACCTCATGGCCAAAGGTTCTTCTAACCATACTTCCTGGAGCTTCTGGTTGATTTCTATGGTTGGAGATGCAATTTTATATGCCAAATTCCCTACCCTTCACCTCCAATCATCATAGGAAAGTAGCTAAAAGCATAAGTTCAGGAGCTAAACAGCCTGGATTTGACTCTTCGCAATGTCCTTTTCTTTGCGGTCTTGGGCAAACTACTATTTGCCTCAGTTACCTCATCTGAAAAGTGATGCGGATAATAATCTCATCTCAGATACTTAATGACTAAATGAGGTGTAATGCAAATATTCAGCCTGCCACAAAACACGTGGTCATTAATAATAGTTATTGATTTTAAGGCAATAGAGGGAAACAAAGGGGTAGAATTACAGTAGGTATTCAGAAAGTTCTGGTTATCCCACTAAAAATCTTCCTACTGTAGTTTTGACCCAATACCCCTTACAAAGTAGAGATCGTGCCTCAAAGTGAAGCTTGTTATGTCTGCCTACAGGCTTCTTTTCTCCACACTTTTAGTCCTGTCTTGTTTAGCCCCTCCTCCTAGGATTCCTGGGAACCGAGATCATACAAACAAGCTAGTTTTCAGCCAAAAATGAGAGCTTCCTCTAAGCCGTTTTCCTCTCTCCTGTTTATTTTTCTCCTCACTCTTTGCTTCATAATTCTTTTCAGGTGTGTGCTCTGTGAGTCAACCAACCATTGACTACCTGTTGAGCCATGGCCCTGGCAACCTCGTGGGCATTGTAGTGGGAGGTGTGGGAGAAGCCCTGCAAAGTGTTCCCAACACCACCAACCTCATTCTCCAGAAGCATAAAGGATTTGTGCGCACAGCTCTCCAGCACGGGTAGGTGCTCTTCCCATGGGAAGACGGGTTTGCCTTCTTTGAGAAGTATGACCCTGTAGGTTATGCCAGGAATCCTGATGGCGTAGCGGTTACATGTTGGGCTGCTCACCTCCAGGTTGAAGAGTTATAGTCTCACAACTCCAGAGAAGAAGTTCTCCTCTGTCCTATAGGGTCACTATAAATCTGAATTGATTCAGTGGCAGAGTTTGTTTGTTTGTTGAGGTGATGCCAAGGTGATTCAGACATTTGTCTTTCTTTTTAGGACTTCATTAGTGAGTAGGGGAGAGAGTTGTGGGTTTGTTTGGTTTTTTCAAGTTTTAGGTGGTCCACTTTTTCTGAACTAGTTAGACCAATTCCTAGGAAGCAAAACCAAGCTCAACATTAGGGGAATCAGGCTAGTGCTCCCTGAGCACGACAACAGTATCTCAGTCAATATTGATATCTATGTCTGTCTGATAATGGTATGTGTTAAGAGGTAATACAGTAGAGTGATTATGAGTTTAGGATCTACATTCAGGGGCCTAATTTATTATCTTAACTTTATTTCTAACATTCAGGTCGCCATGTCTTGGTATTTTCACTCTTATGACATGGCTACATGGTTACTAATTATATCTGCTTTGTAAGGTAGTTAAGGGGAACCAGTTAATTCATCCGCGTGAAACACTATGTGCCTGGCATATAGTAAGAGATCATCAGGTCAGTAGAGCAGCTTACCAGGCCCAAAGAAAATTGCCTTATTGAAGATTCAGATAAGAGAAAAGTTTCTTATAAAGACCTTTCCTGAGTGGTCTATTCATTATTTTGGAGCATAATATAGATGAGAGACCTAAGCTGGAAGAATAGTCCTCGATTCCAATCTAAATTCTGCAGTTTACTGACTGTTCACATGATCTTGCCCACCTGAATTTTGGGATGCTGTAGGAAAAAAGAAAATACTCCACTGTGTCCTCTACTATCTTTATTGGAAGGAGCAAGTAAGAAAACATATTTCAAAGTGCTGAGAGGTTGTTATTAACAATTCACAAAAGTTATATGAAGTTATACGTCTCTCGCACAGGAAAACGTGACCCTTATTCTCTATGAAAGGCACTGCCAGAGTGGATTCTCATGGTTTATGAAGATGTGCAACTTTTCTCTGCTTTACTCCCACAACCCAAGATAAAATACCTTATGGTTAAGCTCCTGCATGATGATCTCTGTCTGAACTCATCTTCCGTCCCAATAACCCCATAGCCTAGGCATGTGATACTGGTCCAGACAATATTCTCCCTGGACTTGAAATTTTCAGGAACCCTAGTTGGTGCAGAAAGAAATTCTTTATGCTGCAAGGATTTTATTACAATAGATAGATGCATAGATGTAAACTATGTTCCTTTAGGTAGTTCCCTCCCTAGCCTGGGTTTGGTAAATTAATCAGATTTTTTGTACAGGGCACATCTGGTTCCTACCTTCACTTTTGGAGAGACCGAGGTATATGAACAGGTGATATTCCCTGAAAACAGCTGGATGAGCAAGTTTCAGAGCTACTTTCGGTGTTGTCTAGGTTTCTATTTTTGTGTCTTCTATGGACAAGGATTCAGCCAAGGCACCATTGGACTTATGCCATACCGTTTGCCTATCGTTACTGTGGGTGAGTGTAAAATTTGCAACCAAAGCCAACTCTGTCTCAATTTCATCCTAGCCCTCTCTACCCCTGCCTCTATGATAGAAGAGAGTATCAGAGTGAGAGAAACTGGACTCTAATTTAGGCTGTGAGAAGGTCACTCAGGATATGAGAGGAACAGGTCCAGGGAAGTAGAAGGAAGTTAACAGGATTCTAACACTTTCCTTTTTCCTTTTCCCATTTCCTTTGACAGTTGGGGAGCCTCTGCCCCTGCCCCATATTGAAAAGCCAAGCCAGGAGATAGTGGATAAATACCATGCACTCTATATGGACGCCTTGTACAAATTGTTTGAGCAGCATAAGGTCCAGTATGGTTCCTCAAAGACACAAGATCTGGCCTTCCTGTGATTGAAGGGGCTGCAAGCCCATCCTCTTCAGAGTCAGAGACTGAGACCTGCCTTGGAGAAGAGACTTATCTGCCAGATAATCAAACAGGGGTGGGAGGGAGAAAACTAAAGATTAAGGAGGGCTGAGGGAGTTGGCAGGGAAAGGAGCATTACAAGCTCCTTTATTGCCACAGAGCCCTCACAGGCATTCTTCCTGAGGAGCTTCACTTATTCATTCTTCCAAATACAAGGTCATGCTCCTGTTCTGCTCCTGACTGATTTGCCTATTTCAGCCTGATATTATAGGACATGTGAAGAACTTCTGAGGATTCTAAATGACAACGAGGAAGCCTGAGTAGCCACTGAACTGTTTTCTTATTTTGAGTTTTCTTGTATTTTTAAATTGAGATATAATTTGCATCCCATAAATTTAACCTATTTAAAACACAAAATTCAGTGATACTTACATATTCACAGTCGTGCAAGCACCAATATCATCTAGTTTCAGAATATTTTTAATCAATTCCAAACCCTGGTATACACTAACTACCCATCACCACCCACTCCCAAGACCCTGGCAACCACTAATATATTTTCTAACTCTGGGCATTTCATATAAATGGAATCATGTGATCTTTTGTGATTGACTTATGTCACTTAGTATAATGTCTTCAATGTTCATTGATGTCGTGGCATGTATAGAATTAAATTTCTTTTTATGGCTTATTGTATGTATTTATGCATCATATTTTGTTTACTCATCTGCTTATGGACACTTGGGCTGTTTTCACCTTCTGGTTTTTGAACAATGCTTCAGTGAGCATTGATGTGCAAGTATCTGTTTGAATTGCTGCTCTCAATTATATACCAAGGAGTGTACGAGGGAGTACCCCCCCCACCCAGATAGTGTAAACCTAGAAGTGGAATTGCTAGGTCATATAGTAATTCTGTTTACACTTTTGAGAAACCATCAAACTGTAACCCACAGGCACTGTACCATTTTTCATTCCCTCCAGCAAGGTGTAAAGGTTCAAATTTGTCCACATCCTTGCCAATATATAATATTTTCTGTTTTTCTGATAATAGGGATCTGAGTGGGTGTGAACTGGTGTTTCGTTGTGGTTTTAATGAGCATTTCCCTAATTATTAATGATGTTAAACATCATTTCATGTGCTTGTTCATCATTTGTAGATCCTCTTTTGATAAATGTCTATTCATCTTTTGCCAATTTTTTTGTTTTGGTTGTTTGTCTTTTGGGTATTGAGTGTGTTAGTCTGGGTAGATTAGAGAAACAAATATATGTCATAGAGACACTCACATATGTATAAGAAAAAGCTTTATATACAAGAGCAATTTGGATATTGAGAAAATATCCCAGTCCAGTCCAGATCAAGTCCATAAGTCCGATATTAGCCCAGATGTTCAATACCAATCTTTAAATTCCTCTTCAGTCTCACCCAACACATGCAATGACACTGAATACAGGAAGATCACAGGCCAGTGGGTGAGTGAAAGGTCTTGTAGATCCAGTGGTGGTGTAAGCATCTCAGCACTGGCAGGGGTCTCCACGTGGCTTCTCTGGCTCCAGAGCTCCTCCAGAGGCTGCTGCATCAGCCTCTCTCCATGTGTCTCCTCAACATGGATGTCTTGCAGGGAGTGAACCTGCATCCTAACTCCAGCAAGCTATTTATCTCCTCAGTGCCTCGAAATGAGGCCACCAAGCTGGGACCTGCTTGACAGATTAACCTCCACCCCATTCACTCTTAATCCTCTCAAGTTGACAACAGATTCTATAACTACCACAGAGTCATAGCTCTCTTATGTTCTGAATACTAATCCCTCATTTAAAACACACAAAAAATTCCAATGGAGCAGTTCCTTAACCCTATATTGTCCATTTGTAAAATCCTTAAAAACTTTAAGTAATATGGCAAACTGTATGCACAGAAAATATGCAGATTTTTATCTTTGAATTTCTAAACTGAGTTGAAGTTCTCATTTAAATATACATTCAGAATATATTATCACCAACTGAAACTTCCTAAGAAAAGTTTTACCTTAGCAAATCAGAAAATCTAGGATGCCTCTAGAAAAATTGTGAGGTCAAAGAGCTATTAACCATCCAGCTAACCGTAGTTTGGATTTGCAAATTAGTCAGCTAAACAAACAAGACTGAAACTACCAATTGCTCACCAAATAACGTTTTCTATTGATACTTGCTTCTAACCTCAAAAAGAAAATAGTAGCTTTACAATGAGCTTTCACTTTTAAATAGTTAAAATTGTTAAATGAACCTCACTAGTCTTCAAAAATATGAGAAGTATATAAATAAAATTTTCTTAAAAATGAATTCTTCAGCTAGACTCTGGATTTTAAAAAAATGTTTGCTTTGTATATGTATTTTTTTGCAGTTGGTTGGAGAGCTCTGAAATATTCAGGAGCTTTAGTTGTTTGATTATGTTGTTCAAATCTTCCGTTTCTTTACTGAGTCATACTTGTTGATCTATCTTTCTTTGAGAGTGGTGTATTAAAATAACCTACTATAATTGTTGATCTGGTTTTTT